ATGATATATGAATAAAAACTTTACGTTTCTCTCATTTGCATTTATTTGTACAAAGAGGAAAGAACAAACCTTGATAACAGCCTCTGATCCTCCTCTATTCCTGTCCACATTCTCCTTATTCTCGATCTTGATCTTATCTTGACCTTTACGTCGTGGCGGTACGGGAGGTGACGACGTTGAAAATCCGGTCTCGACACGGTCAGCGTCATTTATCCCGGCTTCTTCGCGGGAAAAATTCAAACACGGCTGCTCGCGGCGTGTACTTGCGTTATTTGCCGGTGGACTGAGGGGTGCGGGAGGTGGTGGTCGGTAAGGTGGCGGGACTCGTAAAGGAGAGACCGGGGTGGCTACGTCGGGAGTGCCAATGGGTGACGAGATTTGATCAGGAGTCGTCAGTTCCAATGAATTTTGACGATACTTCTTCTTCAGAACCAAATATTTTTCACCCTGCACGAACACAATTTCCATTACGGTGCGTGCGACAAACGTAAATAAGTACGTGTAATGCGTTTCACGAATTTATATCATTTCAATGTTCGAATCAACGCTGGCTTCCCTCCTATTTTTATATACTATATACTGTGTAAGTATATATACTATATTATATTATATTATTATATTATATTATATATTATATTATTATATACTTATATATGCTATATACTGTGTAAGTAAAAAGAATGTGATATTTCATAAAGCGCGAAAAAATGTTTTCTAGATAGTCTTATCGTTTCTATGAGTCGCGCATGAGGCATTGGAAAAACCGGCAACGTCGCAAAACGCGCAACAAGTCGCTCCTGTCAAGGCGGAAGGAAATTGCTACTCAATGACGTACATACCTCTTCGTTCTTTATGGTAGCCAGAGTGTTTACATACTCCTTGAACCGATTTCGTGCCTCGACTGCAACGTAAATTTACGCGCTATTCACTAGCTGTCGTTAGATCTGACGCCCGGTGTGACGAGCATCAACGTCTGCCCGTGTTTACACACCGTGCGTGCAACATTCAGGTCACACCTTGCGAAAACGAGACAGTCATCCGACTGCGTTGCACACCGGGTTTTCAACGTACCTCGTGTTTCCGGGTCCGTTAGGAATTTCTTAAAGTGCTTCACCACGTCGTGATTACGAGCAGTGCCGCCGTTTTCCAACAAATATTTGCGAATCTCCTCGAGAGACAGTTCACTGGGCGTCGCCATCTTGTCACTACTGGCCAGCGCAGCAGCGCCGCCGTTTCCACTGTCTCGACGTACTGTCGGTAAAGACGACCTCTGCGTCGCGCGGCACGCGTAATGAATTCAGAGCGTTCTAAAATTAAACGTCGACGCGTTCGTGCTAGTTTTTGGTGCGTTTGATCGCATTGTATTCAAACTACATCCACACATGAAATTTATTCTCTCATTTTTGGATATTTCTGATCCGATCGGTTTTTTTTTTCATGCTGACGTTTACCGTGCTCCATTTTACCAACGCTACCAACGTTGTTGTTGTCAATCAGTTGCTGATTCGCAGGTCTATTTTGACGAGTGTCTAAAGAAGTAGCTTCCTTCCTTCGATTTTAACCTCATCCGAGCGGGTTACACTAGAGCGCAGGCTCGCAGGTTAGCAGGCTATGTGTTCAAGAATGTAATGGATAGTTCAATTAAGAGTTCAATCGAGAGTTCATGCAATGGGTCACGTATACTACATCACGTCACAAGTCAGAGTGCACAAAAGACGCGTCAAAGATACAACGAGCAGTCGAGAAATTTACCGGTAAGAAACAGTCCACTCTTACAAGTATTTTTCCGACCGGAAACCGGAATTATCACGCTAGGCCAAGTCTCGACAAAATCTCGAATACGCAGGCATAATTTTTCAAAATTCAAAGTAGCTAACTAAAAGATATGCGCCTAGTAGGTTAGGTAGTAGCGTACATGGTGGTATTGCAAAGACCTTTGGTACGCATTGTACGTCATCAGAGCAAGTGAACGATGTCTAATTGCTACTTGAAAATGCAAATAAAAATTACGTATGCGTGAAAATGTATACACGAGGGCAGCATGTAATAATGTACTAACGAGCTGTAATCATATCGCACCGCAAAAAAATTGTTAACATCATTATAACGAGTGCAATCGTTGCTCCTCATGCATAACACATAGTAGCAATCAATTTAATTGTATTATAATTGTGTGGGACGCGGTGGAATACGTAGCGCGCGATCCAACTGCTAGCTCGCATCCCACGTCGCGATACATGTACAAATAAATAAAAAAAAAAAA